GAAAAAAAATTCATGAAAGGGAAGCTAACGTACGCCCTTGAAAGAACTTACGCCGCCCGAAATAAGCGTCACACTTAACAACAAAATTCTCTGCTTTAGGCATTTGTTATACTGATGTGAGTGATAAAGAGGGGAAATTAGCCTGCAATGCAAACGTATTGTGGATTCTGAGGGTCAGATGAGCTGCTTATTCATATTCGTAATGGCATGGCCGCCAAAAGAAAAAAAGGAAAAAGAAAGGAAGAATAGGAAGTGATGTGTTACTATTCCCGAAATTAAAAGTACGTCCCCGGAATAGGTACCGTCCTCAAAATAATGATCTCTATAAGGACAAGTCAAAAAATTTAACAAGCATCGCCGAGCTTTTTCAAGCAAATGCATCAAATTTCAGTTTATTTCCTTACTGGTATCGTCCAGCATATGGTTTCTTTAAATTCACAAGTCTTTCAATCAAGCGTGTGGCTCATTTTTTGCTTTTGCAGTAAAAACATCTCAATCGGCTGAACATTTACAGAGCATTCACCAAAGGAAATCCTCAAAATCAAATTTAACTTGAGTACTTTCGCGCAGACTACATGTTAGATAATGTTAGGCGAGAAAGAAGCACAAATAAAAATAATATTTCTCAATCTTTTTATCGTGGTAAGCATTAAGGCCACAATTTCCATTGAAAATCAAAGTGGTTGAAAATAGAAAGAAATGCTCTTAGACACACTTGAGTAAGGCGGGAATGTTATCCATTTGATGAGGAAAATAACCGAGAAAGATAACTATAGATCTTGGCCAGTTAATCAGAAAAGTAAAGAGCATCATTTGGCGAAACGTTATCTGCTCTTCTCTTTTAAGATTCCTGAAACAGCTTCAAGGATTAAACGTGAAGAACCTGCCATGTCGACTGAGCCTGAACCAACCATGAACTCAAATCCAGAGCCTGGACCCCACTGGCCGAGCGCATTTGAAACCTGGGGAAAAGCCTGGGACCTACACATTTACTTGTTTGCAGTGCTGTACTTGTTGACTGCTGGAACGTCTGCCAGTGCGCTCGTTTATGATGTCATTGCCAATCACGGGATAAAAGGACTGAAGCTGACTCTGTATCTGACATTGCTATTTATTGGTCGTTCAAGAGCTTTTATTTTATTTTTCGATCCATATAGCTCGCGAGGAATCCTGGGCCTGCTCACTACTTACATCACGTGGTCTTTAGGCCTTCCGTGCGTCCTTGCGGCTCTCTGTCTTCTGCTTCTCGTGTTTGTAGACGCGACAAAGATGAATCTTGCGCCTCCGCGCTTTCAGAAATTATCCACCGTAATGGGTGCGATGGTTTTCAACATTCTCATCGTTATCACAACAGATCTTATTTTCCTTCTCACCAGCAAAGGCTTCATTTTGCTAATACTTTGTTACGTTTATTTTCTACTTCTTGGCCTGATACTTACCGCCGGATTCCTTCGAATCGGATGTCAGATTTCCAACAACACGGCGGCACAAATTTACGGCAATGGAGGCCTTTCAAGGCTTCGTATCCTCGCTTTCATCTCTGCTACTCTCAACGTGCTCTTTCTTGGTGTCCAGACCTACTCGGTTATCCAATCTGACGTCCTATCGGAAATCCCCCGCGCATGGCCCTGGTACGCTGTACAGACCCTACTGCGGGCGCTTGAAGTGAGCATGTGTTTTGTGATGATGGCTATTGTGTTTAATAACAGATTCAGTTCATTCTTATTTTGTTGTAAAAAATTTCTCCCAAAACGATTTAACAATACTGTTTCACCTTTGCCACCAGGTTTTGCAAAGGTGTAAACAAGTAAAAAACCCTTATATTCAAGAATTTGCGACCTTATAACGCTTGTTGGCCCATAGGGAATCAAAGCTCTGTGCTACTGGCTGTAGAATAAAAGGATTTCTTTGAAGGCAGACTCTCTTTTTTAAAAAAAAATGTTATGACTAGTCTGAAACGCGAGCTAAAAATAGTTGTAAACATCTGTTAAAGTTAAATGATCTTAGGGAATGTATACGTAGTTCGAGTGTTGTTTTTAGTCTGTCTTGAAGCAATGAGTCACATTCTACCTAGTTTCCATATTTTTCTACTCTCACCAAATGGTCGAGGGTTATCAAGATATAAAAATTAAAAGGTTTCATAAACAAAGAAGCGGAAAGAGCGAAGGGCTTTTTCTTTTAGAGCCACAGAATTCAAAATTTATTGACAACGGCAGGTTGGTCATGAGGTAGAACAGCCGGAAAAAACAAGGAGCAATTAAAAAAGAAACTGTAACTTCTCAGAGAATCTGCTTGTAGTCTGAGAAAAAGTAGGCAAATGGCCCCTCTGAGGAATATTTAAATTCTCGAGTCATTGTCTGCTATTTTCTTTTGTTCCTCCTTTCTTGAACACATTCGTGATATCTAAAGAAGGTTCTAAAGCGGCTGATGAAGTCACGTTTCTCTTGCTCGTCAATGCATAAGGTCATACATATACACCGACCGATGCCACAGGTAGCTCAAACGTACAAACTGTACCGTACGAGTTGGGAATCTGGGTACTAGAAACTGAACAAGGGATCGAGTTTTCAAATGTATGTGGCTTTTAGTAGCGTTTATTTTTTTATGAGTATTCGTAAGGGGAAGAGTGTATAAAAGCGTTAAAAACGACTCAAAAAAGGCCCACAAGCATGGTTCTGTGTTTGAACAACAAGTCCTTGGTGAAACAATTAACTAAGCACAGCACTGATTTCAGGTGAGGAGAGGAAGAATAAAGAACCTATCAATGTAAAACCGGCGAGGGGGGGCGGGGGCAGGCAAGGCATAAGGTGGGGATTTGATTGTCTTTGTTGGCCCTGGGGTAGGGCATTTGACTGATCTTGTTCTCCCAGGGGAGGGGATATTTGAATGTTTCTTCGCCCGACGTGGTCAATACGTTTCATTTATACGATATTCTAACGAAAAAAGTGAGCTAAAAACACACAAATAAAATATCGGAGTTCATACTTTTTGTCTGGATACGTCCTTTTAGCTCACTTACGGTTTGCTGTTTGCCATATTGGATCAGACTGAATCTTGACTCTGTGACAAGAAACATAGAAACATTATAAAGATGTAAGTTTAGATAACAGAGCTTGGAAATCGAGCTTGAAATGTGACTCAAAGAAAACAGGGACAATGTAAGAACGATAATCTGCAAAATTCTGGTCACTAAACGCAACAAACCTGATTGAAATGAAAGTTAAATACTCACGTTCTCGCCACAACACCAAACAGACCAGTTTCACGTCGCCGACGGGAGAACGACGGCAATGAGGTGAGCAAGAGCATGCGCAATATTGCACAAATCATGACGTCACGTCCGGTTGAAGTTGCCGTCGCGCCGAAAACGTCTCCATCTTAAGTTCCCTACTAATTCGAGAAGGAATCGGCGAAATGAGTCACAAGCAACATAATTTAACTCTTACCAGTTCGCAAGTCTGTAAAGGTTTTCAATCTTCATCACGTCGAGTTGCAGTTAGATTTAGACTCGAGCAATTTTCTCCTCTTGTGCAGCTGGCTAGTTGAGAAATTTCTTTCACTTGGATAACGGTATTTCGAAGGGAAATAGGACTTAAACTGTTTACTCCAGTTGCATAAAGCATTGGCATAAATATTTATGCACATTTTTGCTGCTTTTGTTTGCCTTTGTCCAATCAACACGTTGTAAAACGGAAAATGCATTAATTAGCAATTTAACTGAAATAAAATACTCTGGGGACGTTTTCGAAGCTTCGGGGAGACAAGGCAACCTGCCGGTATAGATGGTGTTCACAGTGACGTCATCAAATTGTAAAGTCAAAATAGCGAGGTTGTACGAATTGTTATTAACACTAGGTTGAATTTAAACAAAAAGTAAATTTTTGTACACGTTTCCATTCCCGTAGCATGTTTCATTTCGAAAATACAGCAATTTGAACTTCCGAAGTTTTGCAGTACTTGACACCAAAATAGAAATGCTGTCTCGTTGAAAAAAAAGTCTCTCCTCTTGATTTTCAGCAGTGTAACCATTTCAAGTATTAGAAGATATGTTTATGCGTACGTATGCTAGTTCTCGAGTGAAAAGAAAGAGCTTTTTGTTGCGTGACAATGAAAACGATCTATACAAACAAGTGGTGTGAGATCAAAATAACTGACTGTGGTTTGTCTTTTCATCTTACAGAACTGCTCAAGTTTTAAAAATACCTAACCAAGAGAAAGATTTGTGTCTAATATTAGCCTTATGGCAAGATTATACGTAAGATATTTTTTAATTCTACTGCTTAACTTGAAATAAAAACCACGAGGACGATCATATCTTTTTTAAAGCATTTTAAATCAGTTTATGGCAAGCTTGAAAGTGATCAAAATTAAGGTGACCCTACTCTCCCGAGGAATGATCAATCAACCGCAACTGAGCGTGTTTACCAACGTAACTCGTTACATCCCAGCTTTTCTCTGTCTGTTAGCTGTGTTAACGAGAACAACTTGCCCTTCAATTATCAGCTCCGTACGAAGGTCTTGAAAACTACGATCACAGCCTCCTCCAATCAGGAACCTGAGGAACTTTCCAGTGATCGAAAAACCGGGTGACGTCATTGAACCTTGAGGACTATCGTATTGATATCGAAACGGATGAGAGGGACTGGGCCGATTCTCGAAGGTACCAATCCACCAATCTCCTTTGTGGTTGCTAAAATGCCCTCCCTGCTGGGCTGATGGGATATCCCCGTATGTTGGCTAATTATTGAATGCAAAACCAGTCAAAGTCCACTTTGATAGATCATGATCTTCGAAGTCAAATATAGTGTAACACTCTAGTGGGAACAGAAGATATAGATAAATGACAGTGCCGGGAGCCCATAACTAGCAGCGAGCAACTCCCATACTAGGTCTATGTCACGGCGTTTTTACGGACCGGTTTATTTTTAGACACATTTCAGGGCACTTTTTCCCGCCAAAATAGAATCTCCACCATGTCTATGGGCGCATGCGAAGTATAAGATATTAAAAAGGAAAGCTAAATGTTATTGAAAGACAAAAAATATCATTTTTAGGTCTGCAGGTTTTCCTGACTGGTTTGTGGTATTCAAAATTCGCACCAAAACCGTTCGTCCGCCGTGAGAACGCCATGACACGAACGCATGGAAGTTGCTCGCTCTGGGTTATGGGCTTCGGGCAGTGTGAAATGACTGTGACAGTGAGACAAGAAAATAATTTGTTCGTATGAAGTTGGCCAGCGGAAAATTCTGTGCGAACGCTTTTCTCCTGATTTCTAAAAGTGCCTTAGGCTATAGAAAACACGTTGATATTTGAAGGAGATGTGTCACGAAATCTATCAAAATTCAAACACTAGGAACTGACAACAAATTGAGTGAAACATAAATAAAATAACGGCTCAAAACTTCAAAAAAAAGGTATAATTATTATAACACCACAAAAGGAGGCACTGATGGACAAACTTAACGAAGATTAAAACTGATTGCAATGGCTGTTTTTGAAAACTTGTCAACCTAACAGTTTTCAGAGTTTTTTTTGTTGTTGTTATTTGCAACGTTTGATATGATGCTTGGGAGACATATTTGTTTGACACAAAGCTGTGATTTCAATTCACAAGTTATTTCTCTAAAAGATGAAAAGCAACGCTATTAAAACATGACGTTTTGGCGACATGTTGCCATTATCAAATGCAAATGAAAGAGACTATCAAACTTTTTTAAGGAAACATGAGGAAAGGATGTTAAAACGTTCTCGAAGATTAGTTGGCTCTTGTTGGTGTTTTTCTTTGAGGTGTTTTTTCGTTATCAGAAGTTATTTCTCAAGTTCCAAATTGCGAATAAGGGTCAATAGGGACATATGATTGGCATTATTAACAAAATGAACTAGACAGATTTCAAACAGCCCCTTTAAGGCACTAGTTAAAAAAGAAAATACGCTAGAGGGAGAAAGAATATTCCGCTTCGTATGGCACACCAGTAAACATCATATTTGAGGGTTTTTTCTGATAGTGATCAGCTATTGCTGTCTTTTGCAATCGCTTTCAACCGAGTTAGCAATGATACTGGCTTACCTGTGCAGTTGTATCCGTCGCCATAGAAACCAGTGTTGCAGGTACATCTGAGAGATCCTTTTGTGTTAGTACAAGTTGCGTTCGTTCCACAGCTTATTTCTTGACATTTGTCTATATGTAGAACAAGTTTGAAATACTGTGAATCATTTCAACCCCTCGCCCTATCACAGAACAAGCAACGTAGAATGTAGCGAGCCACACATCGCAGAATGATGCCTCACCGATAACTTCTTAGTAGTAGTAAAATTAATAATAATAATAATATAACCATTAATATTATCATTATCATTCTTTCTTGCACATTCAGTCATGTCCAATAATCACTGCTTGTAAGTGGTGCAACTCGTGTACGAGCTGTAAAACAATGTTTACCATTTTTACAAACTGGTGAATGCGACACATTCGAATAAAGCAAATGAGGTATAAAAATGCGTTGCTATTCTGTTCCAATGTCACTGTTTAAAACAACTAAGGACCAACAACAACAACAACAACAAGGACCCATATGAAATACTGGGATACCTGTGCAGTTGTATCCGTCTCCATGGAAACCAGTATTGCAGGTGCAACTGTAAGATCCCTTTGTGTTATTGCAAGCTGCGTTCTTGTTACACTGGTGAATATTTTCATCGCATTCGTCAATATCTAGGATGAGATAGTTTTAAAGTACGATGATTAAAAGCCGAGCCATTAATATGCTTATGAGGAAAGTATGTAATGAGACACCAGTAACGAC